GTAGGAACGAGCTGCAGCTTCAGGAACGCTGCAAGAAGCTCAAACCAAAACGGAGACCAGGGGACACTAAAGAGTGACGCACACAGCTGGAGACCATGGGACACTAAAGAGTGACGCATACAGCTGGGAGACCAGGGGACACTAAAGAGTGACGTACAAAGCTGGGTCACTTTTTAGTGTCCCCTGGTCTCCCAGCTGTGTGCGTCACTCTTTTAGTGTCCCCTGGTCTCCCAGCTGTGTGCGTCCACTCTTTAGTGTCCCCTGGTCTCCCAGCTGTGTGCATCACTCTTTAGTGTCCCCTGGTCTCCCAGCTGTGTGCGTCACTCTTTAGTGTCCCCTGGTCTCCAGATGTGTGCGTCACTCTTTAGTGTCCCCTGGTCTCCCAGCTGTGTGCATCACTCTTTAGTGTCCCCTGGTCTCCCAGCTGTGTACGTCACTCTTTAGTGTCCCCTGGTCTCCAGATGTGTGCGTCACTCTTTAGTGTCCCATGGTCTCCCAGCTGTGTGCATCACTCTTTAGTGTCCCCTGGTCTCCCAGCTGTGTGCGTCACTCTTTAGTGTCCCCTGGTCTCCCAGCTGTGTGCGTCACTCTTTAGGGTCCCCTGGTCTCCCAGCTGTGTGCGTCACTCTTTAGTGTCCCCTGTTCTCCCAGCTGTGTGCGTCACTCTTTAGTGTCCCCTGTTCTCCCAGCTGTGTGTGTCACTCTTTAGTGTCCCCTGGTCTCCCAGCTGTGTGCGTCACTCTTTAGTGTCCCCTGGTCTCCCAGCTGTGTGCGTCACTCTTTAGTGTCCCCTGGTCTCCCAGCTGTGTGCGTCACTCTTTAGTGTCCCCTGGTCTCCCAGCTGTGTGCGTCACTCTTTAGTGTCCCCTGGTCTCCCAGCTGTGTGCGTCACTCTTTAGTGTCCCCTGGTCTCCAGCTGTGTGCGTCACTCTTTAGTGTCCCCTGGTCTCCGTTGTGTTTGAGCTTCTTCAGCGTTTGGTTTCTGCAGCTTTTAGTAGACGCTGCCATGTCTCCTCAAGTTGCTGAATGTTCTCTAAATGCTGCATGTGTTGTAAATTTTGTAAGATAGATAGAACATTTTAAATGATATTTGGCGTCCCACAGGGATCTGTACTTAGACCACTTTAGTTTTGTCTATGAATGCTTTTACTGTCATCTTCAAAGAAATATATATTTTAAACTTCATCACCTTTTAACCCATTTTCTACCATGTGTTTTGGAACATTTGTGTTTTTATATCTGCATCCTTTCTGAAGTTGCAGCGGGTTTCTCCTGATGGAAGGGGTTTGCACCTGTTTGCCACCGTAGTTTTAAAACCCTTTGAGGATTGATAAGGGTTCGTCTTATATTGACACTTGTACTTTATTCATATATCTCTCTCTGTACTTACACAATGCAGGGGGGCACTTCCTCTCCAGCAGAGCAGCTCTCCTTTTCCAGCAACTCAGGACAGTCGGCTCCTCCGTCGATGGGGAACTGGCTCACTTTCCGGCTCCTGGTTCGATCCCCTTTGGGTCCGTTGGGGTCGTAGCACTCCTTGGAGCAGGCGGACCAATCAGACCACTCGGTGACGTCGCAGTCTTTGGTCATCACGCAGGCCTGGAAGGTGATTGGCAGAGAGTCCTGGGAGCAGAGGCTGAGGAGAAAACAAGATATGGTAAGAGGAGAGGAAGCTGTGATACTTTAAGGTTGATGTTACGAAACGTACGGAAGCCCTGAGAGACATTTCAGGGAAACAAAACCTCAGGAACCAATTTCCACATCTGATCCAAAATAAAATGCACTGTTTTTGACCAGAAATACATAAACATTTTACATTTTTGGGGGATATCTGTAGGGTTTGTAAGCAAGCTCTAGGAAGATCATTGGGAAATAATTATCTTGGGGTTACATTTCCAAAAACAGGTGACAGGAAGGTGATTTTCTTTTTAGTTTTGTTAAGGCCTATTTTGGTCACAAGAGGCTAAAATAAACAACTACTCGATAATATTTTGTTTTATTAATTGTTTGAAAGGAAATGAGTCCACAGAAGCCTTAGATAAAGACAGGAAAACAAGCGTCTCCTGCCTGGATTACAGAGATGTAGACGGAGCTTCCCTTTGTCTGCCGATGTGACTCAAACAGTTTCAAAGTAGTTCATTATAAACCCAGCAGTTCGTTATCCGTGTTTTCAGCGGCGGCTGCTCAGCGCCATGGCTTCGTTTGATGATGGGGTTTCTGATGTGTTCAAAGACACTTGTTTGTCTCAGTGTGTTTGTAAAGGCTGACGGGCCGTATGGAAGAGACTGCCTCTCCTTTCTAGGAGTTTCAACGCTCCAGTTGGTCCTCAACTCTTCTGGAGGTTTCTGAAGCTGTGTCTGTTCTTTTAGTGTTTTGTTCCTGCAGCCTCTACACCAGGGGTGCCCAACCAGTCGATCGCGATCGACCGGTCGATCGCGGGGAGATTCCCAGTCGATCGCGAGATGTGTTTAAAAATAGAACAACAATATTCTGTTTTATCGTTAACGTCCTATAACATAATCTTCCTGTGCCAGAATAATGCACTTGAACGCATCAAAGCTTTGTGATTGGCCAGCGTGACCCCATGTGTCGGGGCGTGGCTGGTGAGCAGTGGGCAGTGCACTAGTTCGCTGACATTGTCCGTGTCAACAGTCCGCACACACAAGACCGCAATTATGGCAGAAGCAGGAAAGCCCAAAATATATAATTTTCACTCCGAGTGGGAGGATGATTATTTTTGTATCTATTCCAATTCAAAGTCCATCTGTCTCATCTGCAATGCGAGCGTGGCTTTATCGAAGAAGGGTAATTTAGGAGCGGCATTTCAAAACAGTGCACAAACGCTACGAGACGGAATTCCCTCCTGATTCTGCCCTACGCACCAAAAGGGGAGGGGCCTGAGAGGACAGCAAAATGCACAGCAGTCCATTTTCACCAGGCCAACAACAAGAGCAAGGCTGCTACCATAGCATCGTATCGTGTCAGTCACGTTCTTGCGAAACACATGAAGTCTTTCAAAGACGGCGAAGTTGTGAAAGAATCATTCCTGGAGGCTGCCGACGTACTTTTTGGGGACAGTAAAAATAACAGAAGCATTTCAACAGGTTTTTGATAAAAACTCAAGTTAGATACCGTTATTAATCAGCTGTAAGTTTTAGTTTGTTTGAACTTATTCATTATAATTATTGTACAAAATGGTATAAGAATGCAAACTTAAATTGATTATAGTCTATTATCAATTCAGGTTAAGAAACTGTTGCTTGCATCCTATTTTAAAGGCATTTATTTTTATAATCTACTAAATGCAACAAAAAAAGGGTTTGATTCTATTAATTTTGTCTTATTTAATGCACTTTGGCAGCAGATTCCTGAGTAGCTTCAGATCTGAGTTGTCTTATTAGTAAGCCTCATTTATACTTTTGTAGCAACACTATTTTTATATAATGGCAAAGAAAGAGTTATTTTTTTCCTGTGTCATATGTGGCAGCACTGTTCAATGTTTCTTGAAAACATGACCCACTGTAGTGACGTCTGAATAAACTCCAACTCTGTATCAACAACACTGTTGTGTAACTTCAGTTAAATACTTGTATGTGTGTAGATTAGAAAGAGGTAAGATAAAGGATCTGCAGTATTTTATGAAGTATTCATCGTACAAAGGTCAGTTTTATACAAGTAGTAGTGTGTATTTACCTGGTAGTAGGCTGTCAGTAATGGCTACGCCTCTCTATTTGGACTGGTAGATCTCGGCAGACTGGCAACTTTAAAAGTAGCTCTCGGTTCAAAAAAGGTTGGGCACCCCTGCTCTACACTATAAAAAAGGATTTTGGAGGGTAGTATATATTATCCAAGCAAATCATTTAAATTGTACTCAAGGTATATAAGTGAGCATTGTTAGTATATTTGAATGGGTACATTCTACCTACACTACCTAATTTCTGACAGTACCAACTGAAACACAAACAATCTGGGTCAAATCTACTTGAAGACATTAGGCCCACACTGCCCCTTTGCGCATGCGCATGCGGTGATTCTTGGCTGCAGGCCAGAGGAGCGGTTCTCTTTCGCGCCTCCCTCCTCCTGCTGTGTGGAAATGTTGGAAGGTAAGATATTACTGTCTATCATGTCCTACATATACATGTTCACGTTTTTTGAGGTTCATCACAAGACTTGTTGTCTGCTTGCTTCACTGTTAGACAAGGAATGTAAGTTTGTTCTCATCTATTACTCACTGGAAGTCGGTCACTGATGCTAGATAGCTGTAGCTAACATAGGAGCTAAGAGTAAAGCACTATGATGTTTAGCTCCATATTGTTAATAATTGTTATTACAGCAATAATGTGCATGTTGACGGCATGCCGTCTGAAATGAGTTAAGCGTCACGGCGACAGTTGTATATTAATGTAAGTTAACCAGCCAAGTTGTGTTTCACGTTAGCATCGTGCGTGCTTAGCAGAGAAGGCTATTGTTTGCTAGCTAAGTACTAACAAGAACAGCGCGCGGAAGGCGGCATTCGTTTAAATCAACCTTTGAAGTTGGTCGTCCTCTATGTGTGTTTGTCCAAAGTTATTTTCCACACAGTTTCCAATGGTGATGCGCACTGCAAACATCAGTACCGTTTATTAAATAACATGTCAGTTCAAGTAATATGACGAACTCTGACCCGGTTGAGTAGTATTGAGTACAGTAACGGTTTGCGGGGGACACATTAAAATGATGCACAAGGCTAACTAAGTTGAAGCTAGCCTGTAGCATCTCTCTCAGTCTATCTAACGTCGGCCGTCAGTTTCCTCGTGTGTCTGTGTTCATATGAGCGTGCATGAAACGATAAATACTGAGACAACTATCTCGCGACTTTCTCTTAGTGAAAAATAACCATCGTATATTCTGCCAAGCCACAGTAATAATGATTTATGATTCATTTGTCTTTTTTGAGGTATAGCTGCAGCAATAGCCTATAGACTTATGTTTACATTAAGCTTACTGTATATTATCGTGAGGACTGGAGAGATTACCACGGAGCAGAGCCAAAGCTCATTGTTATATATTTTAGGATTTTTCTACATAAAAATGTTTAATTGTGTTATTTTGTTGGTAATGTTCAGTGTAAGAAATGTGAATATAAGTGTAACATCCTCAGAGACGGCACCTAAGTCCTATACATTTTAAATCCTGCAGAGAATTCGTAGTGGAGTGGAGGTGGTGACCCTCAGCCCACGTGTCTTCAAGGAGAGATGGTTTACTCAATGAGGCTCAGGTGAGAACATTACGTTTCTTTGTTTCCATTTCAACTCACTGTTGTCAGAGTTGTGAGTAATGAGTGTTGTCCCCGATGCTCTTTATTAGATGAAGGAGGAGTTCCACACATAACAACTCTTTCACTGGAAGAGACGTTGATGCTGAAACTGGATGGGTCCACTAACACCACTCGCTCCAGCTGATGCGTGCCAAAGAGGAGATGCTGGCTCCAGGATGCGTCCTCTTCTGAGCGCCATTGATGAGGTACATTTATTTAAATGTTTCATTCAAGAATATGAAAATGCAGAAATAAGTCTTGTCACTAAAATGCATTTCCTCACAGGCCCAGAGTGTTGGGAAAAGAGATGCAGTGGCCAGGTGCCTGATTGAAGACCTAGGGAACGCCAAGAAGACCTTTTTTCAAGACAGCAGGTATGTCGTTAAAGAATGATCACTTCAAGAGTTTAACGGAGTTATTTCGGAGGTCGCTCTGACACCATTGTTTAATGTCTGTGATGAACCGCTCTGACACCTAACAAAGAAATATGCAAGTTATTGCTGTAAATCTGTAAACATCTTATTGTTTTTATAAATGGTTTAGCATTCACAGGAACATGATTTAGGGATAATGTACTGATGTGCAGCTACTTCACATATACAACCTTCTTTTGGTGTTAAAGTGAAATAAGATAAATAAAATCATGCACTGAAAAGTGATGTTCATGGGAAAGAATCATCAATCACTTAATGTAATGTCATTGATTAGATCGATGGGCAATTTGACCGGGCCTGACATGTTTTATATAAGTTAGAGATCTTGTTTTGTTTTTAATCGCTGCCACACTTTTTTACAAATCATTAAAAAAAAGTCAATCCCTGGTTTTATTGATTAGGCTTAATGCTAGACCACTAAGCCTATATTATATAACAGCTTCTTGTTAATATGCCTAATTTAAAGTGAATATGCTTTTCTTTCTTTTCAACATGGAGGACGAGCATGACAACGTCGTGGACCAAACTGTGAAGGTGCTTGTGATCCGTGATGCCAGGGACCAGCAGATGTGTCTATTGTCAGAGAGGGAGACAGAGGTTTGTGCGGGAACCAAACAAAGGCATTCGCATTGTTGATGGAATTCATCTCTACGCCCTCAACCTGGAATACCCCAACAAGCTCAAATACACATTTGAGGTATTCTAAAAACTGTTTTTGGAGCTTGATGGAAACAAGCTGCTCAAACAGGTCCAGAGCCTCAAATAAACAATTTGTTCTGAAGTGGATGTTGACTTGTTTTAGTGCCGAGTGACACAAACACAACATAATGAGATGTGGAATGTAATGATGTGGAGAAACCTTGTTCTGTTAAAAGTGGACTGTTTACTGGCACGTAAGGTTTTCATAGTTGAGTAAATTGCACTTGGAAGATTATGTTAAAATGCTCTTTACTGTTAAAACAATGTGATTGTGACTATTTTGAAGATTCTGCTCAGTGTTAACAATTGAAATGCATTTAACTGTTTAAATCATCTCAATGGCCATATTGCACTTATACATTTGGTCAATTAAAAAAACATGATCAATAAAATCTTGTGTGGCAATATATTGTTTCCTGGTAACCTTACTAATAAAGTAATTAATGTGTAATATGGATCAATTATTAAGTAAATAGCTTTCTACGATTAGGAGTAAATATTACTCATTTATAAGTAATACGTTTTAAGTAATTGAGTTAGATTTGACTTAATTTCTTAAAGTAAGTCTTATATATTAAATATTGGTAACCTTTACCCAAAGACATTGGGTCAAATCTACTCAAAAGAAGTGTGTGCAAATTGTTACCCCCATTTTATTGAGTAGATCTTATAGGTTGGTTTTTACAGTGTGCGTTTCTCTCTTTAAAGCCCGGCAGAAGGACATGATTATGATTATGGCCGTATCAATTATTAAAGATAATACATCTAACAGTTTGCACTTTGATGTCGTGTTCAAGAAAGAGTTTCATCCAAACTGCGTAATCAGTGTTCGACACACTGTCCTAGATCTAAGGACGTGTTTCAGACTCTGATATGAAAAGCTCTGAGTTTCTTTAAAATGACCTGCGCTCAAGTTCTCCACACAAACTACCTTCTGTTGTTTAACTGAACAGCAAATATCTCTTCCAAGTTGTGTGCCACAGCAGACAGGACAATGCTAACTGAAACAAAAGCCAGGTGACCCAACCAGAAGACCCTAAAGAATCCGTCTTACTTTTCTGAAATCTTAATTCTACGATTGCATACTTGATTCTGATACCACACAAACCGGTCCATTCCTCCCTTAAACCCCCAATTCAAAGACAGTCCTCACTTACCACTTAAAGTCTGTTTCTTTGTCAAAGACCCAATGGAGTGCCTCCTCATTTTAAACACTTAACACTTTGGGCATAATTAGCAGTATCAGTTCAACATTCCCACAGCGCTTCAACTGTAAACAAACTTCAATCTGTTCTGGGCCGCATTCATATCCTCACTATCAGCTCAGCCTCTGAAGCTTTTAGCCATCTGTGCGTCCTGTGATATAATCCACTCCTCCACTATGAATGGAGTCCATGTGACAGCGGCTAAAGCAGATTTGTGCTTCACTTTTAAATAAATATTCCAGAGTAGATATAAATCCCCATGCAGATACAATATGCCACTTGATTGCACGACGAGTGGAGTTTGCATGATTTATGAATCCTGGCATTAAAAGCAAACGTATCACACAAGCCTTGATTTTTCCTCAGGAAGTAATGGACGCTGCTCAGTGGCCTCTATTAGAGCACAGCCAGACAGAATGAGGCCATTCATCTCCGAACAAAGAGACGCCACATGGCCGAGCTGCAGAATCACATGTAGTGAGACGTCTCTGACCAGTGTGAGCAGACAGTGATGCTCGTCAGCCACTAATTGAAACTGACAGGGATTCTCGTTATGACCATCATTATTACTGAGGCCCCGCGTCGTGTCATTATAATCGTGGATGGATACCGTTAACAATCCCACTAATTAAACATCAACCTATTGGCAGCGCTGGATAACATTTAAAAGGTTCACCAAAGTCATTCATACTCATCAGCACCAGAACACATGTCAATACATCCAATTGTTCTCAAGGTTTTCAACTTAAAACCAAAAATATCTCATGACAAGAGTTTTGAGGATTATTACTGAGGCCCCGCGTCGTGTCCTTATATCGTGGATGGATACCGTTAACAATCCCACTAATTAAACATCAAGCCTTCATGTAAGGGACTAAATATTGAATACTGACCGCTTACACAACACGTAGGACTGAGTGCAACCAGCACTCAACAACAACTACAACACAACCCCTCCCTGAGAAAATATGTCGACAAGCTTTACAACACACGCTCTTCAAAGGGCAATAACATGCACACACGCCATCATTGGACAGCGGATAGTAGAGAGAACTGGGAATGACAGGCAACCAAGCTGCGCTGCAACAACATGACATACCCAGTGTGCTGAGGTGAGGGAATATTTGTAGTTATGGCAAATACACCATGGTCTGTCATTGGTCAAGGATAAGGAAAGGCAACAGCACACTGACAGTTAGGGAGTCTGGTAACAGTTCATCAATACAAGCTAAAGGTCCAAGTACAACATCGACCACTACATATTTACTTTTTGTCAAACTAGATAAAGGACAAGCTATTTTCCTGCGTTGGCAGAGTGGGCCTAAGGGTCTGCAATGGTCCAATACGAGTATTTATTCCACGCTGCACGGCTGTAGATTGCAATGATTTATTTTTATAACAATCAGAAAATCACCTGACTTTAGAAAATTAGCCGATTTTAAACCAAACCATGATTCCCTCAAACCTAACCACGTTGTTTTGTGCTTGAACCGACTGGTCTAGCAACATAACCGGCACTCTTTTGCTCTATATATTCATGCTGCATTGTTGGAGGAGCTCGGGACCTAAGATTTCCATGCCATATCTATACCGTAGCTGCTGTGCACATGATGATAAAACCACTGACTCCTTGAATCCTAGTGTTGTCACAGAGATTCATTCTTTTAGGGATTTCTTAATATTATATAGGGCACCCATTAAATGATGTGGTTCTGCTGAAAGGTCTGTCGGATCAGAAACATCCTGACGACTAAGAAGCCTGTGTCTTACAGGTCTTCTTGTGTTTACCACTGTAGACACAAGTCAGGAAAGCAGGACATCTCACGATCTCTGACATACCGAACCCTAACCCTCACCTGGGCACCGGATACTTAAAATGTACCTTTACCTAATCCATATTTCACATGGTGCTAAACTGTTTCCTTGCTGAAGACCATTACTGTATTTATATAATTATTTAGCAGGCAAGCGTCTATAGAAAGTCAAGACAACCTTACGAAAACACCGGATAGCTTCCTCAGCAAACATTCACACACTAAAAATAAAGAAATTAATACAAATCATTGTGTTTTTTACTCCGTGAAGTGGCTCATAGGGACGTCTCTTACCTGAGGGCCTCGACGTTCCCAATAGTAACTCAAGCACTGATTTTTCAGTACAGCAACTCTTAAAATGTACGTTTACTGTTAGAAATTAAAATCAATGTTGGTATGGCGTAATTTGAATTAAATACACTATTTAATTTAAATCAGTTTTATTCTGAAAAACCGGAAGTTCACTAACTATTAACTTAATACTTTTATTCTGAAAATTCTTCATTTCCGGTTAGCATTAGCATGTGGCGAAATGCTGCATTTTCAAACCGTTGAATCAAAGGTGAAATGACATGTGATGTTGTACACTGAGCACACTGAGCACACTGGGTTAGCACTCATTTATTACCGCTGAATAACGTTTATTAGGGAATGTTTAAATAACCACAGACACCAGAATGATATAATTTAACAACAGAAAAAGGCAGAAATTGCATTGGACCCGCCCCCGACCAATAGGAGAAGACCTCCGATGACAACAGGAAGAGCAAGCCAAGGATTGACCTCTTGCTACCGGGTGACCTGGACTGACCGGGCGGATGAGGAGAACGCCTCCACTCGCACATTTCATTTTGTACACCACCACATCTTTTGTGTAATTAAATGCTGTTAACTTTTATAAGCTTCCCTTGACTCTTTTCAGTCTCTCCTGCCTTCGGGGTTATAGAATACACTAACATGGCGTCCCTGGGTGGGCTCTGAAGCGGGATAGAGCTGGAAGAGAGGGGAATGCTGCAAGCTAACTAGCATCACACTAGCCTGCAGAAAATGAGTTTTTGGCTGGGCCTAAACGAAAGGTGAGACAGTTACCTGTTTAATTCCGTGGTGATTGCGAGTGGTGTGGAGATTGTATATAGTGTTTCTATTCGTCTCTGTTGTATCTTCGGCGCCGCCCGATAATGTGAATATTACATATTAAGACCTTCTGGTGAGGCAGAATTTTATCTGGGATAGGGTTCACATTGTGTTAAATACCTCTGGGTAGGTACCAGACCTGATCTGTTTTACACTGGACTGGGTCCATTCATGTTAGTCTATATGTTCGATGTGTTAAACCTGCGTAGTCTGGTTTAATAACGTATATTGTGTGGAGTTTTTAAGCCAAAAAGTATATTTTTGTGTGATCTTCTAAGCCGAAACGATTGTGTACAAGATTGGTATGAGATCGGCTTTTAGGGTCAGCATCTATATAATTTAGAGCTAAGATAAATGAAGATTGTGTTTTGTATTGTCAATCAGTGTGGTTATTTATATGCAGATGTTGAGTGTTTCCATTGTTCCCCTTCCCCCAGTCACATGCGGTTAATGCTATACTGCTAAGCTAGCCAGTTAGCATTACTAGATGGTGAAATACTTCGAGTAAAGATACAACCGGTAACTACTGATTAAATACACAGGGATGGTGTAGATCAGGCATCCTCAAACTACGGACTCCGGTCCGGATCCGGACCGAACCACCACTATCTCCGGACTCTGAGCAAATTATACTTTTCATATGTATTATCTCTCTGTATTATATGTGAGACATCGCCACAACGCATTCGCAACGAGTAAAAATTCTCCGCTATGTCCACTGCAAACAGCGCTCTGCATGTCTGACTGTTCCACTGTGTTCCACCTGTGTGTGTCAACGCTTTGGTCCAATCACATTCAGCATCCAGTCAGCGTTTTTTCCCCCAAACAATCTACGAATCAGAGGCACAGTAGGGCGGGTCTTCGCGGAATGCGGGTGGGAAAAATGTGTGTGTCTCTTTCAACCTGTCTAAGTCAGAGCGAGAATTAAAAAAAAAAAAATTCAGAGCGAGAGTTAACAGCTCATCTAGTTCCATCTGTACTGTAGCTAGTAGCCTAGTTTCACCTACCGGGGTGGCAACTGACACCCTAAAAATAGGCTTGCCACCCCAGCTGCCACCCCAGTTGGCAGCTTTGTTTTGAAAGAAAAGTTGTGGCTCATCGGACATTTATGAGAGAAAGTCTCTAATGTCCGAGTGCAAGTGAATGCAGCACAAGATGCACATCATGTAACCCCTCCCCCGGTCCTGGCGCGAGCGTGGATATACGATTGGCGGCGATTTCATTTTGAACTGGACGG